CTTGTCTTTGGGGGACCGTTGTATAACATAACTGTGCTCTCCACAGCGGTTTGGGACACGATGAGACTGAACCCTGTTTATCCGGGTAGGGCACAAACCTAAGCTTGACCAACTCCAGTTCTCCCATCCCAAATCCCGTTTGAATGACAATTCTGGGATAGCCAGTCTACTCAAAGCTTTTTGTTGTTGTTTGTTTCGTGCGGTTTTTTTTTTCGGGGCAGGGGGGACTTTTCTAAGAACTACTCAAAAACAAACACTTGTTCTCCTGTAGACTACAACTCGAAGGATTTTGCAGAGCAGGAGTTGTAGCAAATGGAAGTGAGTTTCTTTGAAAATAAAAGTCCAGCAGAAAAAAAAAAAATGAGATGGAGCTAGAAGGAGGAATTAAAAATGAGTGAAAAAAATGCTACGGCCCTGCATCCAACAGGGCCTGAAGGTCTCCCCAAGATGAGGCACAAATTCCCCTTGTCACATTACCTAGTCGAGCTGCATCGACATACCAGGGAGTTCTGGCCATTAGCCAAGCAATACGCTGTCTTCATCTGTGAATACAGAAAAGTGATAAACTCTCTGTCAAGGGCCTGACTTCGCCCATTCTATTCCTTGAGATAATGCATCTAATTTTTTGTAACAACGCTGGGAGAACAAAAGCATAAAATGTTCCACAATCTTTACATCTTGTACTTTGTCATATAAATTCTGTATGCTTTCAATTTTATAATACATCTGTTAGTGAATGGGGCCCCAAATAAGAAAGAAAAAGGTGTAATTGGATGCATTCATTTTCAAACATCTTGAGTGTAACAAAGGGAGATGGTACTTCAGAATCCGGGTCAAAATAATAATTCTTTTTCTCTCCAGGATTAGGGAAGGGAAAGGCCTATGTATGAGTTCAAGTGGAAGGACCTCGTCAGGAAAGAACAGATTTAAAAAACACCATGGGTGATTGCTAATTATTACTTAATATTTTCTTTAACTAGGAAACGAAAGGACCTTTACAAAAATCCCGGTAAATGATATCTGGTTCTTAAATTTCATGACCTTTCATTGCCTGCCTTTTGAAGAAGCGACTGATTCATTTGCAATGTGACAAAGAGACTTTCCCCCAATCTCTGGCTCCAAACTCCCGGGAACACATTCAGGTGAACTCAGCAAACGAAGGTCATACGTGAAGTCACGATTTTAACGGCCTAAGGAGCAATGCTGAAGTTTGCCCTTTGTGAGCAGAGAGCTTTTGATTAACACATGGCTTGGCAGCTAGCTTACTAGTACTTCTCTATTTTCTTTTTACCCTTTTTGTGATCTGTGTAAAATTCTCAAGACTCTCCAAAAATCTGAAGGGCAAGTCCACATCATCCATTACGTGGGAATGGCCGAAGGCACGATCCTTTGATGAAGCCATAAATGAAATCCTGGCACCCTCGTGACAATCACGGAATCAGGTCTTGAAATGAGGGACTGACAATGAAGGGAAGATGTCAACGTTCTTAACAGAAAATCTAAAACAGAGAAAACGAACGTGCGCACACCTTCATACACCGACTCCTCTGCCCTCCGGTTCGCTGTGTTCCAGCCCCGTGGCTCCTGGCGGGGGCGCCAACACGCCGGGCTCCCTCCCACCGCAGGGCCTTTGCACCTGCTGTCTCTCTGCCCACAATGCTCCCTGCTTCTCTCGTAACAGTTGCACTGCTGTGCCCTCTCCTCCTCTAGGTCTTTACCAAAACTGGCTCCTTCTCAGTGAGCAAGAGCCTCCCCTACCAGACGGAACGTGAGCTCCATAAGGACAGAGACTAATGTCTGATTTTTCACTGCTTTAGCACCACCAGATTTCTTTCATTAAAAATCAATTAAAATATTATGTATCGACTATACCAAAATAAAAAAATTCAAAACAGAGTAACAAATTCACGAATCAAAACTCTAGCCAAGTTTTAATAAAGGACTGTAGGTATCAAAATACAATAAACATTTAAATATAACGTCCTTGCGAGTCTATTCATCATGGTACACTTAAAGTGAAACATCTTGCAAGGGTAAAATAGGCAAGGTGTTCTTAACCCAGGTGACCAAACGTATCGACTGCGCTTAAATGGGCAAACAGTTTTACTTACATTAGGTAAATTCAGGTTGACGAGAAAAGTAATGGTATGTTACAGGGAAAATGAGAAGGGGAAGCAACTGTAAGACGAATATTACGTCCCTCTTGCCTCTTACGCGCTGCAGACAGCAAGCTGAGAGGTGACAAGCCTGTCACCGGACACTCCACCGGGGAGAAAAGGGAGACGAGAATAGGATGGGCTAACACCCTGGAGAGCCAAGGAGAGCTGGGATTAGAACAGGACAGCCAGGCGAAGATGGTGGATCCTCTCCCCAAGATTACTTAAGGGGAAAAATGGACTGTGTCACCAACTACAGGTTTCGGCAAGACAGGCAAGAGAGATGGCAGCTACCTGGTGGGCAAGGGACATCACCGCAAAGACCAGAAGAGCCAGAGCACAATACAGGACACCCACACAGAGGGGGGCGCCCCTCCCTTCCTACCAGGAGAGTATGGTAAATTCCCCCAGATACATCTGGGAAGAAATGGACCAAAGTCTGACTGTGCACATGTTCCTTAGAGAACCTGAGCAATAATATTTAAATGAGTTATTTACAATTTGAATAAGACTAAGTTTTAAGTGGTAATTTTTCCACTACTAAGCAAAACATCCAAAAGATTATGTGTACATTAAAATAAATATCTTCTCCTTACATTTGAGTTATAATGTCATTAAATATACAAAATGATTTTAAAAGCATCAGCATCCCACCACTAGAAGAAACGATAATTATGTGACATAATAGAAGGGTTAGCTACTACTCCAATGGCAATCATATTGCAATAGAGATGTACCAAATCAATGTTATGCACTTTAAACTTATACAATGTTCTAGGTCACGTACATGTATAATCAATTATATCTTAATAAAAAAATTTTTGAAGCATCAGAAATATCTGATCACACATAAGAATGAATTTCGTAGGGCAGAAAAGCAGTGTGAGAAATCACAAAAAAATAATTTACAGATTGCATTATATAACATTAAAACTGTAGTGCATTAAAAACAAATACAAAACTAAAAGCCAATTTTTTAAAAAGCAGGAAAATTAAACAAATAAAATAGACTTAATGTGATACCTTCAACACATAAATATCTGAAGATTGGTCAAGTCATGCAATAAAAATTAGCAAATAAAAACAGACAAATCAAAAAGGAAAAGCAACTAATAAATATTTGAAAAACTGTTAAGCCTCACAAGCAATCAATAAAACCAAAATCTAAAAACATACCACTTTTTAACTATTGAACAACACAAAGTGTTCAAACTCAGTGTGCAACAACAGTTGTCAGACTGCAACAAAATATACTATAAGAGTTAGTATGAACTTTAACGTAATTGGGCAATACATGATTCTTGTTGACCCAATCTTCCCCTTGTAGTAATCTACCTTAAAGAAATAATCAGTGATGTGAACAAAAATCTGTGTATAAAGATTGTTTACTGCGACATTATTTATAGCTGTCAAAAAAGGGGCAACAACCTAGATGATCGAAAAAAGTATACTCTGTATACTTACAAAGTATCCCTTGTTTATATACTTATAAAGTAAGTATATAAAGTATACCTTATACACTTATATAGTAAAATTTATATAGTGTATGCTTTAAAATATATAAAGTATACCTTCGCCATATGAAGCATTAATACCTATCAAAAATATTTTTCAACGATTACTTAAAGATATGAAAAATAATCACCATAGTAAATGAAAAGGGGGTACGATGTTGCAAATACGTAATGAACAAATTATAACTACTACTGAGCAATAAACACTACTCAGCAATAAAAAAGGGCAAAACCCAGATACAAGCAACATGGATGAGTCTCAAAAAAACAAATGCCAACGAAACAAGAAAAACATTACATGAAGTGAAAAAAGCCAGACAGAAAGGAGTAAATACTGTATGAGTGCACTTATGTGAAGTTCAATGACAGGCAAAACTCATCTACGGTGACACAACAGCGGTTACTTCTGGGAGGTGTACAAATGCAAGAGGGTATGGGGACACACCCAGGGCTGACGGCAAGGTTCTGGGCCTTGTCTGGGCGGTGGTCACGTGAGGGTAACAGAGGTAACACGTCCTCAAGTAAACTCTAAACACACAGATACATAAATACAACAATAATAAGAAGTCATCGAGACGCACATTTAAGACATGTGCCTGTTATCGTTCGTATATTATACACCCCCATAAAGTATTACAGAAATTGTATATAAAGGGTAACTTTAATTTGGTTAAATGTATTAATATGCAAAGTATAAAAAGAATATAAAATATACCAAAATATTAAAGGTAGTTGATTCTGGGACTGCAAATTAGATTTTTTTTAAATTTTTGCATTTTCCACATTCACTTAAGATGAGTTAAATGACTTCTATAAATGATCAGAAAAAAAAACAATAATAAACTTTTAAAAAAATTCTCCCATGCTTGTAAAAGAAAATTCTGTTACACTTATAACTATCACAAAATTATACAATGGACAGTAAGGCTTAGTAAATCCTTCCAACAAATTTCCTATAAATTATAAACATTTATGTTTATAATGTATTTGAAGAAATATAAAAAACACTAATTAAGCTAAGCATCTGCCTGGTGAATAAATGAACAAGTCAACTGGAAAGTCAACACTAGACTGCGGAATGACTTTAAAACATGGTCCCACCTGCGACAAATACAGGGCTCTCATGGCTAAATAAAAACGAGTTCTTGAAAAGCAGTTATTTTTTTTAAGACAGATATTACTTTAAATATCCCTTGTGTGCCTGATTTACCTAACTTCCATGCGAAATGCCCAAAGCGAATATTCATTACAGTGAGAATACTGTGAGTTTCAGAAACTCTTACGATATGCATAAAATAATGAATAAGAACAACAAAAAAGACACACGAACCTCTGATTGTACATGCCCCGGAAGTTGTAATTAGCTCTGTAACTTGGGAAAGGCTTTGGGTCTAATGGCCTGTAGATGGCAGGCTCGCCCCTCTTCATAGCGAGCCCATTCAGCTCCACAGTTGGAGTTATACTACCTGTTTAAAAAAAAAAAAACATATTAAAGGCACACAAGTGAAACATTTCCATAATAAATCATGCAAGCTATATTTGTGTTACATATAATCACCATGGCAGAAGGTGGGGGAAGATGGCCCATCTGTGTGCTTTTCTAAGGGAATGCATAGACGAAATACTTAAACAGGAAAAGCATTTCCAATGAAATCTATTTGGGGGTTTTTGCAACATTTTTCCGTACATTAATGACAAAAAATTCAACTTGATAGTGATGCTATTTCAAAACAAGGCAAACACAAGATTCATAGACTGTTGAGTTTGGATATTATAAAGAAAGCATTAAACTTCAACATTAGTTACCCCAGAAAAGTTACAATTACTTAATCATTAAAAACATCATCTGTTAATATTTTTAGTCATATTCTAAAAATATTAAGCAACTAAAATAAGCAATGAATACAGAGTCATCAGTAATTCTTGGATTTATCTAACAAAAAGAAATTTCTAATTTTTTCTACAACCAACAACAGGACAAATACAAGTAACGTTTTCTGTAGATAATCTCTATAGATATCTACTGAAGCATTTATGAAATGACGTATCTAAGATTGGTTTCAAAATAAGCCAGAGCAGAGACAGATGAGAAACAACACTGGCCACCATTAACTACTGGGGTTGTGATGCATTCAGGGACGTTCGCTATCTCAATCTTTACTTTTGTAAAAGCATGAAAAATTCCATAAAATAACATGCAGTGTAAAATTATGTCACATTATTTTAAGAACCAAAAGAAAAAACAGGTATATGTGTTCCCTATAACAAGTTACAGAAATTCATCTAAAGCTTTTATAGAAAATAAGATTTGCAATATAAAGTCTGTACGATTTCATTCTGATTACGCCTTTAGTACCACATGGGTAAGCCTCCCTCCATCACAGACAAATCGGCTCTACTTATTACAGGGAAACTGGGCCGGGCGTACGGGGCTAGCACGGGACTGCGAGAGACTGATGCCGACGGCGGCCTGGTGACAAAGCGATCCACCCAGAGTCAGTGCCTGCTCATTTTGTGTCTCCTTTCTAAAGGATTCGTGAGAAACCACTGAAGAATATAAAGGAACAGGAAGTGAACTAAGGTTAAGAAGAAAGAAAGAAGAAAGTGGGCAGGAGGAAAAAAGAAGAAACGTAGAAGAAAAAGGAGACAGAGAAAAAAACGGCAAAGAAAACTTAACATATTGAATAGGAAGGCCAAGGGGTCCAAATCCCCCAAAAATACATACAACCAGGCAGAGGAAGAGAAAGTCGAGCATAAAAGGATTCGATCTTTTCTTTCTTTCTTATAGTATTTTTTTTTACCAAGGGATAAGTAAAACATACAGACCTTAAGTATATAGCTCCATGAATTATTACACATGTAAATGCCCATGTGACCACCATTCAGATCAAGATACATTTCAGTCACCCAGAAAGTTCCTTCGAGTCTTTTTCAAGACCTACCTCCCCAAATTACACACTCTGACTTTCGTCATCATAGATTAGTTTTGTCTGTTCTTCAAATCTTAATATGTATCACTTTTTCTTGCTTCTTTCACTCAATGTACTGATTTTGTTGAATATGTCAGTATTTCAAACTTTTTTAAAATCACTGAATAATATTCCGCCGAATGAATATACCATTTATATATTCTGCTGTTGATGGGACATTTGGGTGGTTTCCAATTTGGGGCTATTTAGAGAAAAGCCACATTGAACATTTTTAATAAGTATTTACTAGGCATACACTCATTTCTCTTGAGTATACAATTAGCAGTGGGATTGCTAAGTCACAGAGTAGGCTTATATTTAATTTTATTAGAAATTGCCTAACAGTTTTCCAAAGATTTTTATTAATACCAAAGAGCAGTCTATGCCTTTAAAAGTTCATGACTTTCTCATTTCACAAAGATTTCGGTTTAATAATTAACATGAAAATTAGTTATAAGATTAACAACATTTCAAATTCTACCTTGCAATAATCATACATAAATAGCACAAAGTTCAAATAGGGAAAAGAAGAAAGCTTGAAAGACCTCATCTCTAAGGATGGCAAGAAAAGGAAAATTAACATTTTTGAAAATCATCAGTGAGGATACAATTATGTTTGTCACCCATATTAAAATTGGATTCTAAACTAGGTAAAAGTACTGTACCCATGTCATTTAAATAAACAAATAATCTAATATAAATTCCTCATTTGAAAGTAAGGCTACAGTATATTTGCTCCACAGAAATGCCAGAAACTGTTCCTTGTGAAGGGGAGTAAAAGACAAGCAGAAAAGTATGAACCAGGATAAAATGGTTCGATTCTTCGAGAGCAGTCTCTCCACCTGCTTCGTGAAGAACCAGACAGAGATCCCTCTACAAGTACACAGCCCCTTTGCTTACACAGCAATACGTCCACAGAAAACACTCAAAGAATAACTTCAAACCCTGAGACACCGCCAGCCAATGCTAAGTACCACTGTTTTCAGCATGTGACAGCTGATGATCATCACACAGGAATCCTCACATTATACGGCTATAAAGTTGATGCTATAAACACACAAACAATTTTCAGTGGTTTTTAGATGCATTAAGGAAAATTTCTACATTTATCAGTAATAAATATAAAAAGGATAATTAATTAGAGATACTAATGTATGGGACTACAACTGTGGATCCCTTTTATAGGACAGGTGAAAGAAAATTGCTACAAAATTGCAACATGTTACTAACACTTGAGAACAGAGCTCTGGAGAAAGTTAGACTAGTCCCTGGAACATAGCACTGACTCAATAAATATTTGTGGAAAGAATGAACGGATTCGTCAATCAAGCTGGCTCGTCATGCTTAGAGAATGATGAGGAAATCTCAGAAGGACCTAGGACTTAACATGACGGGAACATACCACTGGCCAGATCCGGGACGAGCTGAAAATCAAAGTAAATGATGATCGATTATGAGCCTGTAAGTAAAATAGGAATGCAAGAGTCTACAACGACATAAATAAAAGAACGAACAAAAAAATGAGAGGGAAGAGACAGCTCTTGGGTAGAACGTTAACTAATTAATCTGAAAAGAATATTGGAATTTTAAAAAATCCTTTGGGAGAATAAATTTCTGTTGTTTTAAGCCACAAAAGAAAAAAAATAACTCTTTGGCAATCTTCAGAGTAGTAATTGATTCAGACGAGAATCATCAGTGGATGCCAAACACAGTTGGGTAAAAGAAAGTTTGATGAGGAACAATGTTTATATAGTCTCAAAGTATCTCCCCAGAAGATACTTATTAATTACGTATTATTTAATAAGAAAACATACTTATTGACAATAGAGAAGGCTGGCAGACATACTCTTTGCCAAGTGACAAAAGTCATCACTAATGAGACAAATGTGTTCTCAGGTATCTCCTGATATGAAACACTGAGATATTGATGCTAAAAACGTATAAATCATGAGTAAACACCAGAAAAACTCAACTGAGGGGCATTCTGCAAACAACGTGGCCCGTACTCCTCAAAAACGTCCCCGTCATAAAAGCCAAGGAGACCGAGGAACCATCGAGATTGACGCGGAATGAAGAGAAACGCTCAGTGCGGGACCCCGATGACATCCTGGACCCACAGAGGGCATTACAGGGACAGTCCACGAATCCGAGTGGAGTCTGCGGACCGCACGGTGACGCCGGATCAGTGTACTTCCTGAGAGGCCAGTGTCCGGGCACTTAGGAAGCCCTGGGCGAAAGGGACAGCACGTCCACAAACGGCTCCTGCTCCCGACCGGCCGAGAACCGTTAACGACCGGGGAATCTGGGAGAGGGGACATGGGACTCCACACACTCATTCCACGAATTTTATATAAATCTGAAATTTTTTCTTTAAAAAGTTTTTAAAACTTAGGGGAAATGAAGCAAAATAAGTTCTATGATATATTCTTAATTAACTGTCAGACTTGCCATGGTGTAGACGGATTTAACTCCTCTCTGGGATATAACTACTCTTTACGACTCCCCTGCTCTCTACGTCAGGTCTGAACCCCGCTCCCTCTACAGTGCAGAGAGGAACAGACTGCCCTTTCGACAGATGGAACTGAGTTAATGAATGTCTATATATTAAAAAGAGCAAAAATCTTCTCACAAAAACCCCGATTCCTGACAGATTACATTTCAAAGACAAATAATAAAGTTTCTAAAAATATTATGAGGTTATCTCGATAACTCTGTGAGAGACGAAGATGTCTCAGCACACAAAGAAGCACTAATCATAAAGGAAAAGACTTCTAATTTAGACTCCATTTAAAAAAAAAATTCTGTTCATCAAAAGGCACCATAAGGAGTATGGAAAAATATTTGCAAAACGAATATCTGACAAAGGATATCCAGAATATATAAGAACGCTACAAGTCAAAAAAAAAAAATAGAAAAATTTAAAAAACAGACAATGCAGTTTTTTTAGTGGGAAAAAATATTTTAACCAGCACTCTGCAACAGGAGACCCTCATGCCAACAGACGTATGAAAAGATACTCAGCTTCATCAGTTATCAAGGAAATGCAAATTAAAACCACAATAAATAAATAATATACCCCCCCAGGAGAAAAGCTAAAAAATTTGAAAGCTGAAGTCATGTTGGCAAGGGGGGAAAATAATGTTGTTTGACATTATGTGTGTATATATTATGTACATATTTTTTTAAGTACGAACTCGGAAAGGGGCAACCATTCATTCATTCATTCATTCAGGGGACACGGGATTCCTTCCCTAAATCAGGAGGGCCGAATGAGACGGGTCTGGCTGTGCTGCCCAGGCTCAGCTGCTCGCAGGTGTGGCCCTGCTACCGACCAGCACAGAGTTGTCACCTGCTCCATTTCCCATCCGGGCTGGTCCACCCCTCCGCAGTCAACCTGGTGAGCCCTTCCCAGGAGGGCACTATACAAGGCCAACTTAGTGCGGGCACCTGGTCAGCGCCGGGCACCACAGCCCAGGGCTCCTGGGCTCACACAATCCTCCCACCTCGGCCCCTGAGGTGCTGGGACCACAGACTCATACCACCTGTATTTTTTTTTTTGTCATCCTGACCCTTTTTATTGTTATTAAAAATAAAAGGTACTTAAATGCAATGGTGAACATATAGGGCAAAACCGAATAATAAAATTAGTGTTGAGGTAAGCAGTGAGCTGAATATTTGGGTCTCCACACCGGGTAACCCAAAACCACTTAAAAATGGGTATGTTCACGGTGAACGGCCACTGCCTTCAGGTGAGAGAATGGTCAAAGTTGTTCTTGCTCAATTTCCAAGAAAATTCTTTCCTCAAGAATATCCTGTAACTGTTGCTGCAATTCACGATTCGATTTGGCCAGAACTGTGTTGGTTTCCTTACTGCATCTAATGGAAGCCTGAATAGCTCTCCTACTTTTTCTAACAGATCTAGGAATAAAAGTGTGTGATGGAAGGACGGCTTAGACACCTGTCTTTCATGATGCTCATCGACTGCTGGACTTAATTCATATAAACTGATTTCAGCGTGAACACATACGCAGCCCACGACCCCAGAGTTCCAGTCCCAGGTACATCCGCAGCAGAAAGGCGCACGTACAAGATCGTTCCCAGCGGTATTATTCCTAACAGCCCCAAACTGGAAACCACCCAACTGTCCGCACACTGTATGAGGGCTAGGTAAGTTATGGTACATTCATGCAATGGAATACCACACAGCAACGAAATACCATACGGTTAAACGCGACACACACATGAATCTCACAAACATGACGGTGAGAAAACCAAGCTATCACAGAGAGTACAGTGTCCTATCCAAACGAGCAGGCACGACGAACCCAAGATGACAGAAAGCAGAGCAGCGGCCCCTTCTGGAGCTGTGCAGCCTCTAGATGGGCACGCGGGGGGCCGCGGGCACGTGGGGGGCTGCTGGGCACGCGGGGGGCT